TTGTCTTTTTTTTCCAAGTGACAAGTCTGAATACAATGGTAGTCATGCAGCCTGAACAGAAAGAAGGGGTCAGTGTGTAGAATGAGTAGAATGTAAGAGGCTGGTTTCTAGAACCAAAGTATGGTAAATGAGTAGATGTAAATCCCCCAGATTTGAGTGATACTGGAGGAAAGACTGCTCCAAGAGCTCAGGGTAACATCTTTATTTAGCCTGACCCTTTCTTTGCTGTAATCTACCACTTCTCTCCAGGAAGAGAACGTACCACAGTTAGCCTGACATCCTAGAAATGTTATTTATAGGTACTGTGCTGCAGGACAGTTAAAATATGCCAACTCCCCCCTCCCCTCCTGTCCCACACTGGTGTAAGCAAGGTTTTGTAGAGCTGGCATGGCCTCCTCACAGAGAATGCTCTGCTAGCAGCTGCTGCTTTGACATGGCTGGGCAGTTGGAAATGAAGAAGGCGGGGAAGTCCCGAGCCATGTAGGGTTGTACAGGTTAAATGCAAACCCTTCCACTTCACTTGGAGCCAAATGGATGTTCCTTGGCTCCCTGAGAGGGAGTATCGAGAAGTGGGCTGCTGTATTTTCCAGTGCCTGCCGTTTCTGGATAGATTAACAGGGTAACCCTGAGCAGATTGCTGTGGTTTAGTCTTGAGTGTAAAAGTTTGGATAATGTGAGGAAGGTAGAAAGAAATGGTCTCTGGGCTTGGCTGTGATGAGGATGGGGGAGCTGCACCCCACAGCAGCCAGAGCTCAAATAATACCCCTAGATGGTAGAGTCCAGTAACTAATAGCTGAGACCCTCAAAAGGACAGAGAATCTTTATCACTTCTTTCTTCCCCCTCTCTTCGCCCGATGGAGTATTGGCCACCGATTCCTCAGCCACGCTCCATGCTCCTGAATGTTAGGTGAGATGTTGCACAGAGCTGGCAGGACTGCATGGAAGAAGCAGCTGGGTGCTGGCATTTTGAAAACACTACTGCTTATGCCTGTGCCCTAGCCCTTCTAGGGTCTCCATGTGATTGTTAACCCGAAGAGCACCACAGAAGAGACTCCTCAGGTCAGAGCAAGTAACCCCCAAACCTGTCTTGGGGTGTTTCGAAATCCCTGCCAGCGGTGAGTGCTTTTCTCGCTGTATTTGGCCTTCATCTGGGAGAGACCTACATCCAAAGCACGATCTCTGGCACACATTACTCCCTATATCCTCCAGAGTGCCAGTGAGGGATAATGACCTAACTAAAGTAGGCCGACCAAGTGTTTGTCTCCTCTGGTTAGCTCTCTGCACCCACAGAAGCAGGCAGCTCTGACTGAATCTACTCCGTTCTAGGCCCAAAGTCATGACAATTCATCACCACAGAAGAGCTTGCGTTGAGCATTGAACAGAGACCACTCAAATGAACCATTTAACCTAGTTATAAGGACAGTTTAGAGGATAATGCGGTTATAAGACACACGGCAAAGATTTTTCATGAACAAGTCATGCCAAACCAACCTATTTTCTGTCTTTGGCAGGTTACTGGCCTAGTGGATGGGGGGGGGAAGCAAAGCTGTGGTGTATCCTGATTTTAGTAAGGCTTTTGAGGCACTCCCTTGTGACATTCTCATAAGCAAACTAGGGAAATACAGGCTACTTGACAGTAAAGTGGTTGAAAGACGGTACTCAAATCTGGCTTGCTGTCAGACTGAGAAGGCGCATCTAGTAGTGTTTCAGACTAAGGGTTGCCACCAAGTCCTGGGTGGTGGAATATCAGGTGCTGGGGCTCGTTGCTGCAGGGGGATCAGGTGAGCGGTGGAGGCACTAAGGCAGCTCCCTGCCTGTCCTAGCACTGTAGACTGTGCTGTGCCCCAGAAGCAGCCGACAGCAGGCCCGGATCCTAGGAGGGGTGGGGGGATGCGCACAGGGCTCTGTGCACTCGCACTGCCCCTGCCCCTAGCATTAGCTCTGCACTTCCACTGGCTGGGAGCCTGCTGCCGGCTGCTTCTGGGGGCAGTAGGGTCTGTGGTGCCTGGAGAAGCAGGAAGCTGCCTTAGCCCCCTTGCTACACCACTGACTGAGAGCTGTTCAAAGTAAGCCCTTCCTGACGCCCGCTCCCCAAAGCTGGAGCCTCCTCCTTCGCCCGAAGCTCTCCTCCTCAGTCCCACCCCATAGCCCATGCTCTAGTCAAATTATGTTGGGTCGTAATTTTCTTCAACAATTTTCTTCAAAATTTTTTTGAAAACCACTGTAGTAGGGGCTTGCTGGGATCTGACCTGGGTCCAGTACCACTCAGTGTTCTCACTGCAGCATGGAGAATGGAGTGGAGATGAACATTTGTAAAGATCACCAAATGAGGTGGGCTCGCATGCTCTGTGGACAACGTGATTCGAATTCAAACTGACCTTGAGAAATTGGAGACTTTTTGTCTGAAATCAACAAATTTAGTACACAGTAGTGAGGCTTTATGTACACACGCACTTGGGTGGGCAATACTTTTGCTGGTTAGAGGTGTGAAGAAACATACCTGTGACCAATGTAAGTTTCTCCAACAAGTGCTGGTGTGGACAGCACTGAGAGCATCTCCTGCTGACATAGAGACACAGCTACAGCTGTAAGGTCCCTAGCATAGACCCAGCCTTACAAAATTGGGAATATGTGGCCAGCTGGTAGTACTGCTGAGGAGGTTCTGGGTGTTACAGTGGGTTGCAAATTGAACATCAGGGTAATGCAGATGTGAAAAAAGCTAATATTATTCTGAGGTGTATGAACAATAATGTATTACGTAATATACAGGAGGACAGTGCCCTTCTCTGCTTGGAACTGATGAGGCTGCCACTGGAGTAGCATCCAGTTAAGGCTTTAGGAAAGATGTGGGCAAATTGAAGAGAGTCTGGAGGAAAGCAACAAGTATTAAAAGGCTTAGAAAACTTGGCCTGCAAGGAAAGGTTAAGCGTATATTTGGTCTTGAGAGAGACTGAGAAGGGGACCTGATAAGTCTTCAAATACATTGACGACTGATCATTTGTTTTCCATGTCCACTAAAGGTAGGACAAAAAGTGATGGGCTTAATCTTCGGCAAGGGAGATTTAGATTAGATACTAGGAAAAAAATATTCCAACTGGAATAGACTTGTGAGGGAGATGATGGAATCACCATCATTAGAGATTTTAAAGAACAGGTTGGATAAACCTGTCAGGGATGGCTTAGGTTTACTTGCTCCTGCTTCAGGACAGGACTTGATGACCTGGTAAGGTCCCTTTCAGCACTACATTTCTATGATTTTTATGACCCATTCACCAATTTCATCATCTTTTTGTGTGTGTATTTTTGTGCATCTGAAGCTGGTCAGATATTAGCACAGAATGTAAAACATTTTACATTTAATAGAGAATGTATCGGATACAATACGCTGTTCAGTCTCAACCATAGTGACAGCACCTTCTCCCTAGTACAGGCTGCAGGGACTGTCCCATTTGAAGCCTAGATTGAAAACACACCATTTCCGTTCCTTTTGGGCTGAGACTTTCCGGCCAAGCCTTTTGTAAATCTTCAAGAGCAGCGGCCTCCATCTAGGCGTGCATTCGGAAAGTAGGGGTTACAAGTTTCTTAGCTAAGAGCAAACAGAGATTGCAGCAGTGTTTTGCAAATGGCTTGCCCTTAAATTGATACTGCTGGACGTGTGAGGTCTGAGAGAAGAGTTCATTTAGAAATTGCCAGTGTTCAGATAAGCTAATCTTTTTAGCTGCAGCTGCAGACGGTGTTGGCGGATGGGTGCCAGTGCATCTCTTAATGTTCATACCTGCTACTAGCTTTGCACTGGAATGATTGTAAACAGGCAGCTGTGGGTTTCTTTGCATATCTTACAAATTGCTGCAGGCTTAGACCTCTGACTGTTCATGTGGCAGGTCCCACTCTGCTTTGTCCCTTACTCCTGGGAGTATGCACTGTCAGGGCAGTGAGTGGGAGCCAGCCCCAAAATGTCCCCACAGCTTCCTGGGGATCCCTTATTCCTGCCTTCTGGGTGCAACATGGGAAGGGATAAGGGATCCTCGGGGACTGCTGGAGCAGACTGCACCCCGAGCGTAGGGATCCACTTCACTGCTCTGCAGCTGGCCGCAGGCGGGAGGGGGGAGGGATAGAGAATAAGACCGAGACTATCTTATTGTCGCTATACAAATCCATGGGACGCCCACATTTTGAATCCTGCATGCAGATGTGGTCGCCTGATCTCAAAAATGGTATCTTGGCATTGGAAACTTCAGAGAAGAGCAACAAAAATGATGAGGGATCTGGAACAGCTGCCATATGAGGAGAAATTAATAAGGCTGGGACTCTTCAGCTTGAAAGAGACAGCTAAGGGAGATACGACAGAGGTCTATCCAAATCCTGGCTGGTGCAGAGACACTGAATAAAGCAGTGTTATTTACTCCTTTCCATAACACAAGAACTAGGGGTCACCCAATGAAATGAATAGGGAGCAGATTTCAAACAAACATAAGGAAGTATTTCTTCATACAACACACTGTTAACCTGTGGAACTCCTTGCCAGAGTTCCTGTGAAGGCCAGGACTTTAACAGAATTCAACAAGAGAACCAGGTCAATTCTTGAAGGTTAGGTTGTTAGCCAGGATAGGTAGGAATGGTCCCCATGGCCTCTGTTTAGAAAGCTGGGAATGGGTGACAGGGAGGGATCACTTGATGACCTTTCTGGGGCTCCTGTCAGAAAGCAGGGCACTGGGTTACAAGGACCTTTGATCTGACCCTGTATAGCTGTTCTTATGTAGGAGTCAGACCAGGAGATTGGGGGAGCAGGTGAAGAGGGGCTTGGAGGAGGTGAGAGGTACAGGAGTCAGGGCAGAGGTGTAGGGTGTATGAGTCAGGGCAGGAAGCTGGGAGGTGTGTGGCTGGTCTCCGGGTGGGCCGGGAGCAACTTGAGGCTGGGCTGGTCAGTTGGCAGCTGCCCCTCCCCCTCCACCCGGGGCTTGAGCACTTGCTGCCCCCCTGTGGTCATTCTGGCATATAATGGTCTTTCTGACTTTCTTTTTACAGTCACTGGCTCTGGCTGAGGATTCAGAATGGGAGACAAGCCTATTTGGGAGCAGATTGGATCCAGTTTTGTACAACATTACTACCAGTTATTTGATACAGACAGGACCCATTTAGGATCCATATATGTAAGTACCCAGTGAAGCGGGGGTGGGGAGGTGGGTTCTCATAACCCTTATCAGATTCCATTGACGATTTATCTTAAACTTTCACCCTGGAGGAGCTGATTTCTCTCTTCTTCCCCCCCTCCCCCCCCCCAAATCCAAAATGTTATCCTGGATAATTTATTCCTGGTCCCTCTCACTTCTAGCTCTTCTTAGCTTTGCCTGCATCTTCCAGACAGCTGCGCTCATAACACCTGCTGGGGGTTGGTTGTGATGGCACCATATGATGCAGCCTCTGTGTAAAAGCCACATGCTTGTCCTACTTAGAGGAGTAAATTGAATTAGGTAAATTTGAGAACTTGAGGATGGAGCTGGACTAAAATGAGGTTCAGTGTCTATACACCCCAGACTGTGCTGGGAGCAGGACAGGAGCTGGGTTTTTTTGTTGTTGTTGTGGGAAAGGTAAAGGAGCACTTCATGACCTCAGGACAATCCTTCAACCAGCATTATGCCTGAATGTCCTAGTCATGTTAATTTTCCACTCAAGCACAGAATGGGGTCATGTCCGAGGTCTAGCAACTCCACTCTCTTGCCTTCCATGACTCCCTTTGCCCATAACCTGGGGTCAGGGGAGCTCCCTGTATACCAGGTGTGAATAGTGGCATAAGGATTAAACTTCCTCACATCCAGGCTTTCCATTCCCGCTGTGGGCTTTCCTTCTCTGGGGTGTCCAGGAAGCAAGCTCAGTCCTGGGATGAGATGGAGTTTTCAGCCTGTGGTTCTCGGACTTGCTGCCCTATTTCTCTTCACAGCACAAGAGTTTACGATTTTGCTCCTGACTTGCTCCAAGTTGGGTTTTTTTGGCATTCCGAAATTAAAACTCTCGGGAGCTGTCTAGGACCCATCTCCGCCATAGCCTCTCCTCAGCCAAAGTGCTAGCAGAGTGGGGAGAACTTCTGAAATAACAGTGGCAGTAAGACTCTATTAGAACGGTCATACTGGGTCAGACCAAAGGTTCATCTAGCCCAGGGGTGCCTAAACTTTTTTCAAAGAGGGCCAGATTTGATGAAGTGAACAAGCGTGAGGGCCGACCATTTTGCCTGACATTCTTTGAACCATTAAAATTAAACGCAAATTAACTATTTTATGCAAAGTTTATTGCAAACGGCATACTTTTCATTTCGTCACATGGATGACAAATCTAAACAGGTGTTAAATCACTCTGCCTTTCATATCTGAAGGCCAGATGAAAAAAAAATCCAGGAAGCTGAAATATATGTCAGGAACATTGTAAAGTACATTACATATTATTGGTAATAAAGGTTGTCTGTCAACTTTTAAGTTCAAAAAATATGAACAGGAACATAACACCAAGTATACATGTTGTGTCCAAATATATTTATAACTGATTTAGACCAACTGACATTAACTGAGATTTTACAATGTATTCATCTCAATACATATGGATTCGTTGGGGGCCATAAAAGATAGATATTGCCAAATTACCTGTGGGGCCGTATTAAACCGGAACACGGGCCGCAATTGGCCCGCGGGCCGGACTTTGGACATGCCTGATCTAGCCCATTATCCTGTCTTCCCACAGAACATTTAATCAACTGATCCGTTCTGTCACCCATGCCCAGATTCTTGACAGATTGGGGACACCATGCCTGGCTAGTAGCCATTGATGGACCTGAATTTATCTAGCTCTCTTTTTGAATCCTGTTTCAATACTGGACTTCGACATCCTCTGGCAAGAGTTCCACAGGTGGTGTGCTGTGAGGAAATACTTCCTATTATTTGTTTTAAACCTGCTACTTATTAATTTCATTTGGTGACCTGTAGTTCTTGTGTTATGGAAAGGAGTAAATAACACTTCTTTATTCACTGTCTCCACACCAGCCAGGATCCGCTAGACCTTTGTCGTATCTCCCTGAATCGTTTCTTCCAAGCTGAAAAGTCTTAGTCTTATTAATTTCTCCTCACATGGCAGCCGTTCCAAACCGCCAATCATTTTTCAGCTCTTTTGTGAACTTATTCCAATGCTAAGAGATCTCTTTTGAGATGTGACCGCCTCTGCATGCAATGTTCAAGATGTGGGTGTACCATGGTTTTACCTCTGTCATCTTATCAGTCCTTTTCTTAATGATTCCTAACATTGTTTGCTTTTTTGACTGTTACTGCACACTGAGTGCATGTTTTCAGAGAATTGTCCTCGGTGACTCCAAGATCTCCCTCTTGAGTAGTTAGAGCTAAATTAATCCCCATCGTTGTATGCCAATAGTGGGGATTGTTTTCCAATGGGCATTACTTTGCACTTATCAATGTTCAATTTATCTGCCACTTTGCCCCATCACCTAGTTTTGTGATATCTACATTCTGGTGCTTCTCCTCCAACCCTACATTAGTGGAAGCCTCTTCACCCAGCATCAAGACCTAGGCTGCAGCTTCCTCCTGCAAGTAGGCCAGAGTGGCTACTTCAGAGTGGGCCCAGGGAAGGAAACGGGCACTCAAAGCCCTACGAATAACCCCTCAATGAGCAGTACCTGTCCCATGTCCTTCACAAAGCGGGTATCGGCAGGCATGGTGGATTTCCCAGTTCCTAGAAGATGCATCTGTTTTTTCAGAGGATGCACGAGAGTCTTTCCTGGCTACCACCACTTCTTGCTCTGCGCCCTACTTCAGCTACTAGATCCATTATCTCCAGAGATTCCCTACCACAGCCACTTCTGTGGTGACCCAGACAGGGGTAAGTCAGCCTTCTTTATATGGTTACAGATGGTGTCTGAAAGGGACAGAGCTTCTTCAGCAATTACATCTTCCTTATGGATACCTACAGAACATGGGCCCTCGGTTGCCAAACATTTACTCTTGGTCCTTTCTCCACAAGCAGGGATGAGTGAAATCTTCAGTAGCCAACAGCTTGTTGTCTTGAGATCTCCTCAGCTGGGCTCAGCACTTTGAGGGTTGCTCAGCAGCTCCACCGCCAGCTCAGTGCAGCCAAGGCATGCACTGCTTGTGACAGATCCTCACATGTCCTCTGACAAAAGAAGTACCAAGCCCAAATATCTCCTCAGGAAATATGCAGAGCCCTCAGACCATGCCAAGAAAGCCAGGCTCTTCCCTTTCTCCGGACACGCAGCAAAGACCAGAGTCGGTCTGCCCTGTGAGCACCATAGTGACAGGGGTGTGAAAAAAGTAAACTGAGGCTGTGGTCATACAGGAACCCAAATGAAGGAGATGGTATTCTGAACCATCTGAACTCTGTGCTGACTCTCCACTCGGCAGGAATCTGCAGCTAGAAGGGGCCTCCCTCTGCTTCTGGACTGATGAAAGGTCTAGAGAACATGAGCTACGAGGGAAGGCTGAAAGAATTGGGCTTGTTTAGTTTGGAAAAGAGAAGTCTGAGAAGGGACATGAGAGCGGTTTTCAGGTATCTAAAAGGGTGTCATAAGGAGGAGGGAGAGAACTTGTTCTTCCTGGCCTCTGAGGATAGAACAAGAAGCAATGGGCTTAAACTGCAGCAAGGGAGGTTTAGGTTGGACATTAGGAAAAAGTTCCTGCCTGTCAGGGTGGTCAAACACTGGAATAAATTGCCCAGGGAGGTTGTGGAATCCCCATCTCTGGAGATATTTAAGAGTAGGTTAGAGAAATGTCTATCCGGGATGGTCTAGCCAGTACTGGGTCCTGCCATGAGGGCAGGGGACTGGACTCGATCTCTCAAGATCCCCTCCAGTTCTAGTATTCTATGATGGCTTGAGGTTTGGTTCACATGCAGCCACTTGGCTCCTTTTGTCAGTGTGCGGGTAGGTTTAAAAAGAATTCACTTCACTTGTGGACAAAGTGCGCACTATAAAGATTTCACACTACAGAGAATCCACCATTGAAACTTCCAAGCGATCCAGGCCCCATGCTGCAAAGGAAGGGGAGCCACCCCACAATCTCTGCCAGTCTGACCCTGTCAAAGCTAATTCCCCACTCTGGCATGATGAATGCAGAAGTGGGGGCCCACAAACGCCTTATCATTCCAGGCTTTGGTATAAAGCTTCCCCCCACAAAATCTTGAACCTAGATTTTGGGGATAAAAATCTTTGTCCCAGTTTGAAATTCCTAACTTCCACCATCAAGTGCTTTTGAACCCACAAACAAGGGTGGACACTTGAAACCAACCCCAGGGCACCCCAAGCTCTTTTCTCCAAAGAGCTTGAAAGACAGAGAAAAAACAAACTGCACTCTGTGGCTGCTGTCCTCTAGTCAGAGGCATGTAGATCCCATAGACAGATTTTCCAGGACACAGAACTGAACCAATACCAGGTTAATAAAAAAGAAAGAACTTTTATCATCAAAACAATACTCTTGTTGCAAGCATAATGACTAGATTAATATACTCATGGGGGCTCCCATGAGCCAAAACTTAGCGGTCACAAATGCACCACATGCCATTGTAGGCAGTTGTGTCCTATGCCCCCAGCAACTTTATCAAGCTCAGGTTTTAAGTCAGTTGGGTTTGTGTCCCCCACTGCTCCCCTTGGAAGGTCGTGACCGTGCTGAACTCCTTTGGTTAGAAACGGCAAGCCTGTGTTGTAGTAACATGGTGGGGACTGGGCTAGGGAATGTCCGGGTACCTTAAAGCACTCTGTTGTCTGGGTGGTGCAGTGATTGCCTGTTGAGTGGCTAGTGTGGTGTTGGCCATGTTTTAAAAGAACAATAAGAGAGGATCTTATTTGAGCATAAGCCCTCTGAGGCCAGTGAGAGCTGCTTGGTGTCACCCGGGGTGGGGGTGGGGGCAGAGGGCTCTGCACTCTCCTCCCCGCTTCCCCTCCCCAGCCGCAGCCAGAGGGGATTCTCAGCTGGCAGGTAGAATGGAAGGTTTATTAGTCGACAGGGACACGGCATAGAACAGACTGGTTAGCACAGAGAACAGGAGCAGTCGGTACAATCGGTCTCTGGGAGAGGGGAGCCCAGAGCCAGGACCCAGGCTCTTTCCCGTCACCCCACCCTCCCACCAGCCTCCCCAGCCGGGTTCCTCTTCTGACCTTTATCCATCTTCATGGATAAAGATGGATCCCAGGCTTAGGTGACACAGGGCATCTGCCATTGCGTATATGTGGGCAGCTATCTCACCCACCGTTCCCATCCCCGTCTCGGTATTGCTGCAGTGGCCGGGGATACTGAGGCACTTATACGGGAGTTGTTACCCTCCCACCAGCCTCCCCAGCCGGGTTCCTCTTCTGACCTTTATCCATCTTCATGGATAAAGATGGATCCCAGGCTTAGGTGACACAGGGCATCTGCCATTGCGTATATGTGGGCAGCTATCTCACCCACCGTTCCCATCCCCGTCTCGGTATTGCTGCAGTGGCCGGGGATACTGAGGCACTTATACGGGAGTTGTTATAGGATAGTAGAACTCACACACAGCATCACAAGGTGAATAAAATCCCCTCTCTCCTAAGTCCCAAGTGACAGCTCAGCCAGGTACAGGACATGTTTTAAATTCCAGTGGATATTGCCCATCTTGGTTCTGTGAAAGCAGTTTGTCACAGCAATTATGACACTGAAGGGAACGGACAGGAGTTTTGCTAACTTAAACATGAGTGACTAGAATAAGCTGCCTGGAAGCAACAAGTTGGTGTCCTATACTGTGGGAGAGCACAGCAGGTCAGATAAAAGCATTATTTTGGAAGAGTTACATCTGTCTACTTGATGTAAGTTACTTTTCATTTCAGTCTGAAATGGCGGAAGTGGCTATTCTACATGTCTCTGTAGAATTGGACTTCACACAGAATTTTCTTACCCATTAACCTCTCTAGTGAAATCTAACTGGTTACCCAGTACCTCAGCAGCAGCCTGGGACTGCCACTTCAAGCCTTGTGTGGGCCAGAGAAGACCCTGCCCGTGGTGGAGGGGACACTCCAGCCTGCCCCTGGTTAATCGGTTTGCTGTTAACCAGTTAACTAATTAAATGGGATTTTACATCCCTAGATTTCACACTTAATGTTCATCTGCACCAAAATAGCCTACCCCCGGCTCCTCTTTCTCCTCTTTTGTTTTGAGAAACAACACAGACTAGAACACGCAATTGACAAGATGCTGGTGCTGTGCTTCTAAAGCAAAACTACCTTCTGATGAACTGGAAGTCAGAAAGGTTGACATGCTGCTCCGCTAGGGTTTGCTGTGACTAGCTGCCTCCTAGAGTAAGTGTTTGAAGAGAAAGCGGAGGTTTTAGTAACTGAGCATGTGAGCGTCCAGATAGAATCATAGAAATGGGATGCTGAAATGGAACATTGAGAGAACATCAAGTCCAGCTCCCTGTACTGTGGAGGTAGGACCAAGTAAACATACCTAATGAAGTCTCACTTGCTACAGAATAAGCCCATTACCGATTGATCAGGGTTAGGGTTAATTAACATGTGAAGGCTGTCATCAGGTTCCCCCTGGTCTACTTTTTAAGACTACACTGGCCCAGGTTTTTTTTAACCTTTCCTTAGGGCTCAGGTTGCCTTTCATCATTTTTGTTCTTCTTCTCTGGACTCTGTCCAGCTTATCCACATCTTTCCTAAAGTGTGGTGCTTATCATAGACTCCAGCTAAGGGTTTACCAATGCTGAACAGAGTAGGACATGGACTTCCTGTGTGCTTATCTTAGACTCCAGCTAAGGCTTTACCAATGCTGAACAGAGTAGGACATGGACTTCCTGGGTCTTCTATATGACGCTCCTGTGAATAGACCCAGAATATTAGCCTTTTCTTGCAATTGCATCACATTGTTGGCTATATTCAGTTTGTGCTCCATTATCATCCCCAGAGCCTCTTCAGCTGGTGTCACGCATGTTTACAAGGAACCTACTATGTACTGTGATTGAGGCACAAGTTCACTCGCACAACAAGAATTGATCTCTTGCCTCATTCACGTTCATCTGAGTGTTTGATTTCAGCCGCTAGTGATAATGAAAAGGTGTGCATGGGCAGGGCTCGCCAAGCAGTGACGAGCCTCGCATGCACTGACCGCGCTGCGTGGCTGCGCCGGGCTAAAATCTACTCACCGCGGGCGAGTACATTATGTTCATTGTCGAGCCCTGTGCATGGGAATAAGTGCCATATGGCCAGTCTTGTGGTAGCCAGTGTGGCTAAGATGAGGAAACCTCTGCCAATAACATGCTAAATTTATTGTCAAGAGACTTTGAAGGCAAGACTATCAGCTCATGTTGGCTATGCAGTGTTTATCATAGCTCCTGAAGTAAGGTGGAGTACGTCTGCAAAGTGGCCGGTCAATGAAAGTCTGCTCACACTAGAGAGAGATGTTGACTCTGCCCGAAGTTAACAAATACTCGTGTGAAGGCGGTGATGGGGTATTGCATTAGGTGTACCAGTCGCCATAGCACTCCATTCTGTAGCAAAGAATTCATGGTCAGTTGCTGGAAGACTGAATAAATGTACTGACTACCGTGGTGATGCATGTTCGGAAACCATTATGATGATGCATTAATGCCATGTCGCTTGGTAAAATATGGTTGATCCCAGCATGAGCAATTGGCACTTGATGGGTTTCTACCGACAGTAACTGCTGTAGAAGGCTACTGTTGTGTGTGTTTCAGAAAATATTTTACAGTATTTAACTGGAGAAAGTAAACAGCTGTGCAGAGATGGAAATCTCAAGTAAAGAGCCTGGCTGAAAACAAAGAAGACATTGAAAGCGGAATTGCAACAGTTAACAGCTCTAGCTTCCTCTTGTGTTGAATTACCTGTTTTCATCACACAGCTTAGTGCAATCAAATATTTGCTGGAGAACAGACGGGTCTTCAAAACTGACTTTCCCTCTTTCCTCATTGAGCATTTACATTCTGAAAGCCTTAACAGCACCCTGAGCCCATTTGAATAATGGGACTCTCCTGTAACTAAATTATGGTTTTCGGGTCCCGGATTGTAATTTTGTTTCCCAGGTTGTGTTATGAAGTTCATAATGATAAATCTGTGTGTGGGTGTGTTCGCAACATTTTCACAAATTTGAACTTCATTTTGAAATGCTAAACAAGTTTTCTCTGTTAAAATGACAAGCTTTTTATGGAGACGTGGATTTTATACCAGTATGAATTTATAAGATGTTTTGAATAAATAAATACAGTTGTTGTTGTTCTTTTGCCTATACTAGTTTCTTGTGGTCTTTAGATAAGACATCTTAATGACTCTGAACACTGCTTTAAAAACTGCACTTATAAATCAGTTGATTATAAACATAAAAATTGCAGTAGTGCAAATTTTCCAATTTGGGTGAGACTTTGTAAAGCTCTATTAAATAAAAAATTGTATAATAAAAAAAAAACCTTTTAGGGGTGTGTGTGTGGGGGGGGGGAACCAACAGCTTTTAGGCGTGTGTGTGTGTGTGTGTGAACCAAGAGCTTTTAGGCATGTGTGTGTGTGAAATTTTAATGCTCCATGGTTCAGAGAATCTAGCTTCGTGGCTATGTCTGTATTACTGCTTAGATTGGTGTAACTTACGTCACTCAGGCTACGTCAACACTGCGGCAGTTTGTCACGAGGAAATGCAAATGGAGTGCTCATTTTCAAATCTCATTTGTCGGAATAATCCCATTTTGCGCAAGATCCTGTAAGCCTCATTTTTTGAGGAATAAAGATCTTGCACAAAACGGGGGTTTTCCGCCAAATAGCCCCGTCTACACAGGGCTTTCTATCGCAAAAACCTCTTCCACAGTAAGGATCAGAAGAGAATATGCAAATGAGTGCAAGATTTGCATTTCCTCTTCCGACAAACTGCCGCAGTGTAGCTTCAGCTTCAGTATGCGACTAAGCCACCCTCTGAGCAATGTAAATTACAAAGACCTATGCACCTGATGCAGCGTGCTAGGGGGAGGGAGAAGTTCTCCTGCTGACATAGCTACTGCTGTTCGCTGGGGGTGGTACTCGTGGTAAGCAGCTTTAGTGGACCACAGATAGGACAGACTCTCACGGTCTAGAAGGGCTTGGGGTGGAAGCTGCTTGAATCACTTGAAAGTCAGACTGGATAAAGTATTAGAATGATTCTCTTGAAAGGTTTCTGACATTCCTGATAGAAGTCTATTTCTAATCTCTAGGTTTCAGTAAATAATTGTACCAGATTTGTTACCATAAATTCTTCACGCTCTCCATCTGTTCTGGATGTGTCTGATGTCCTTTACTTCTCTTCCTGGCCTCCTTTAGTTTCCAGAAAATACACCACCTGCTCTGACACAATTCAAGCAGCTTTTTTGACCGATCTAGTCCGATGGTGAAGTGTCATCATTACATAATCCCACAGATCACCAGGAAAAAACAATGACCACTTCCATTGCTCTGTCTGCATTTGTTTTTCCCCCTCTCTTTTAGGTAACTAATTTCCTTATCTTGTACCTTTGGCAGCCGGTCGTAACTTCTGCCCTTGTTAGCAGTACTGCCAATTCATTGAGCTAGCTACAGGAGACAGTGCGAGTGTGTAACTGAGAACCATGCAAACAGTGACATGCCTCGCTTTTCCTAGGGAAGCTGAGTGTAGCTAACCTGAGCGCTGATCAGTGTGCATGCATAGCATTGATAGGTCTTCCCTTGCGGGTGTTATTGCAAAGGAATAGTTGATTTACTTTCCCAAGCAGGCAGTAACCACATTTGTTTTGACTGTTTCAGATTGATGCATCATGCCTCACGTGGGAAGGGCAGCAATGCCAGGGCAAAGCCGCCATAGTTGAAAAACTCTCTGTAAGTTTGTGCAATGGTTGGTTGGTTTGTTCAATGAAATGTTTTGGGAAGCAGCTTTAAAGATCTTAAATTGTTTTGTTTCTCACATCAGAGCAGAGTCGAGCTGTGTTTCTTAAACTGTGTTCTGTGGCACACCGGTGTGCCGCGAGGTAGTTGGAGGTGTGCTGCGGAGAACAGAGTTCAAAATAGCTGCCCTTAAAAGGGCAGGTGACCTTTTTTTCTCAATAACTCCCCCACACACGCGCACACACACACACCTTTATTTTCCCCTTTTTCCTCAACAAAAAATCCTTGGTATTCCTCATTTAAAAAAAAAAAATTGGTGTTCCTCCGTCATAAAAAGTTTAAGAAACACTGGTCAAGGGGGACCCCTTCCAGCCCAGGGAAAGGCTGAGACAACCCCACTCCGCCTCCACCCATATAGTCTCTCCCCTCCCCCAACCAAGCTGGCCTTGGGAATTAGCGGATCCCTCCCCCCCCAACTTCCACCCTGCCCTCACTGGCAAGAGCAAGGCAGTCACAGCTGCTTTGCTTCCCCAGCCACATCCCCCTGCTTCCTGCTAGGAAGTGAAGGGCAGTCCTGCCCCCTTCCCTGGAGCAGCATGGCTGGGAGAGCAAAGCAACTGGGGATGCCTTGCTCTGTTTCCCCTGCCACTGGCCCTCTCCTGCAGGTCAACCCTCCTCCACCAGCTGCTGGCTGGCCCTCCCGCCCACAGCGTAGGGAGGGAACGTGATTCCTCATGCCCCACCACCACGTGCATCACCGGTAACATGAAACACTTCTGAAAACACTGTCAGATGTGACTGAGCGCCTAAAGTTTGAAACTGGGTTTTAGACTCCTGAGTCACTTAGAAGCTTTAGAAAAAGTCCCCTCACAGTTTGTGTAGGAAACCTTTCCCCTTCTGTCAGTTTCTGGAGTTCATTTACTCCAGCAAATAGTGCTTTGAAACCCCCAAAGTCCCAATTTTTCACTGCACAGAACAGGCTGTTAATTCTCTCTATAAGCTCTTAATTTCTGTTTTGCAAAGTGGCTCATGCAATTAATTTAGCACAGGCCTGGCCTAGAAGTGCACAAGCTCCAGTTCAAGAGAGAGAGAGGGTGTTGCACAGTCCTGCTGCTGTGGGCCCCTCTCTACTCCACAACTCTCCAGACAACTCTCCAACCTGATTGTCTAGAAGGAAGGATGTTTCTTCAAGAAGCAGTCTTTGGTTGTTGACCTCCTACGAAGGAGTTGGGAACACACATAAAGGATGTCTGTACTTCTGTGTACAGGGAAGAGAGATGGGGAAGGCAGTAGGAATGCAAATGGGTAACCAGTTACTCGGTAAGCATCACCCTTACCGGGTAGTCAGTTAAATGGCACAGGGATTGGGGTCCAGGTCTGCTTCAGCTGGGCTGGAGAATTCCCACACCGGGGATCCCATTTTATCAGTTAACTGATTAAATGGGATTTTCCTTTCCTAGAAGGCAGCCTGGTTTTAAGCGTTCGGAGTTCCTGCATTAAAATTCCTTCTCCCAAAGCTTATCTGAACAGGACCTATCATTTGTCTGCATCCGTGGGAATCCATGCTTGAATGAGTCTGTTCTGAACAGTGGAAGCTTGAGGCTTTCCGATGTCTGGGATTTGGGGTTTTTCCCAGTGGGTTGCTCTAGAAGAGCTAGTCTTTTGGAAGACCAGAGGAACTTCAGTAGGAATTGGAGGTAACCACTCCTGCTTCAGCCCAAATCTCTCACCTGACATGGCGTTGCCATATGATGGCTGAAAGCGGTGTTTTATATACGGTTCCTCTGGAGTTCTGTCTTGGATTCATGTTAACTTGAATTGAAGAACAAGTCCAGGCTGTCACTGCAGCGGGACTGTGAGGGTAGATGCTAAGTCTGACTTCCATTTTGGGAAGGGCTTTATGGAGTATTTGTTTATCTGCAGAATGAACTGTGTTCTTTAGAAGAAAGTCTTCAGAAAAACACATGTACCAAATTGCCTGCATCTTGCTCTGACACAGATAATGTAAACTTACAGCTACTTCCAATAGAGTTCAGCATATTACCCCACTGCATTTAACTGACATCCTGCATGAAGCGTGTACTGTACAATACGCTGCGAGGGGAACGCTTGCTGTCTGCTCACCCTGCACTTTTCCTTCTCCTTGTAGAGCCTTCCTTTTCAAAAAATACAGCACAGCATCACATCACAAGACCACCAGCCCACGCCGGACAGTTGTATACTCAGTATGGTTGTGGGCCAGCTTAAGGTAAGACGCTGCTTTCCTTGACAGGGAAATAAATTCTAATGCCGTAACGTTTGCTTCAGGATACTGAATCATCGGAGGGGTTGGGTTATAAAGCAGCTTACGTACCTTGGAGGCCCCCGTTAACGCCTTTCTTGGGGCGTCTGGTGTAAACGTTTCCAAGAGAAACCACTTGCCACTCTAAATTAAAGCCCTTGGTATAACCCCGGCCCCATAGCAACGACATTTGAAGCATCACTTTGGTTTGGCCTTGCGACGTACAGGTCGAACCTCTCTAGTCCGGCAACATCCATGGTTAGACAGATGGCCTTTTATCATGGGTGTGGCCGAGTGTCCCACAAAGCTTATTTACAACCATCAGTCCTGGCTCTCAGGGGTCTGTGCTGTTACTTAGCTCTAAGTTACTCCTCAATGTCTTCTGAGAGCCCAGGAGGCAGTGGGGGTGTTGGTAATGCTGCTAGACAATATTGACCTCCTGTGGTCGGGCAGATGCTCTGGTTTGGCACTGGTCAGGCCCCAAGGGTGCCGGACTAGAGTCAGCCTGTACTGCATTTCTCTTTCACATGGAGATCATAGCTGCAGTGAAAGTCTTAACTGATACTATTTCTGTTTAATGGCAGCTCGGTTCAGAATCCTTTGGGAAGGTGTAAATGTGGTTGCCTTGCTAACAGTTTAGCAAGTGAGGACTCTGATGCCTCCGCCTGCTGTCTGGTACAGCAAGGACAGTCCCCTAGTCCTGCAATAGCTGACGGTGCTTGTCGTGGGACCTTGGTATTCCACTTCTGGGCAGGCAGCTGGCTTCGCGTTCACCGCAGTCGGGGAAGGGTAGGGCTGACGGTACCACACTTAGGTCGAATCCCCAGGCATTGATTTATGTGTTATTGCAATACTGTTCTGCCTCTTCCTGGCCAAAACCGCTTCAGGGGCGGTAATATCCTCTGAGTGAGCTCATGGTATCTAGCACTGAAGGGGTCTCACCATTTGAAGCTACTCCTGATTATTTTTGCCTATCCGGCTTCAGTTTGTCTGTGACACACAGTGTGTACGTTGGCACCTCTTGCTGTGCTGCTGAATTCAGTCAACTTCACTTTGGTCCTCTGCCTTTCTGCGGGGAGAGCTGTGCTTTCAGATGCCCGAAGATCATAGATCGAAGAGGTTTGCTGAGGGTGTAAAATCCTGTGTCAGTTGTTAACCTTTAAACCTATAGTTTAACTGGTTAACTGACCATGGTGTGGTAGACTCAGCTGGGCTGGAGCAGCCCCCCTGCCCGCAGCATGGTGGGCCCAGCCAGGCTGGAGTATACCTCATGGCGTGGCCCAGAGGGCCCAGCTGGGCTAGAGCAGCCCTTTGCCCGTAGCATGCTGCAAGCAGAGGTCCGCTCCAGCAGGGCTGAGCGCCAGTTCATCAGATACCCCGGGAAGGCAATGCTTACCAGTTAACTGGTTCAGCCTTTACATCCCGAGATCTGCTGGGTTTCTTGTTGAGAACAGACGCTGTCTTGGCCGTGAGGCAACAACTTAAACTCAGCAAGCCAGGCCTTGTCCTTTCCTGGGAAATCTTAATACCGCATTAGCCCTCAGCGAGGCACGCCAGCAGCAAGTTGGCCTGCTGAGTGCGACAGGATCTCAGACCCATCCGGCTTTATGGCTAGCGTGCCGTCACAGGGGGCTCTGTCAACAGGGTGGTGGTGTTATCTGGCTGCTGGCAGAATCTGGGATAGACCAAAGAGTCAGGCTGATGGGTCCCCTCTGCTCATGTTTAGTGAGGCGGGGAGGGCAGCGATTCGTGTAGACCTGCCCTTAGCTTCTGCAGCTTGGTTCCATGGAGCAGCGCTGGGAGCGTGCCATCTCAACAATGAGCTTAACCCCGGTGAAGAAAACAGCAGAATGAGCAGTCAGGCACCTGGCTGCAGCAAATAACTATTCCAGGCAAAAATGCTGAATTGCCTCTTGCTTTATTTTATTGGGAGGGGATGCTACAGTTGACAATTTCAGCATCTTCGCATGGGGTCTTGGTTGGGGTGACATGGGGCTATTCATCTCGGAGGCACTTGAGGGCTCTCTGCCGTCTCCAGCAGATGAAGCTGCAGTGGTTAGACCAGTTGGATTTTCTCTGTAACCATAAGGGGTTGGCATTCTGTTTCAAAAGCATCACAAGTCTGCAGTTGGGTGTATTTGGACCCCTGTGGCTTGTGGGGTCCTGTCCTTAACCTCCTTAAGGCTCTGTGAACTATTAAGAGTTCTGCAGTAGGATGGACCTGGCTATGGACAATGCAGTCCCGGGACTGATAGCACACAGTGCTCTTCCACGCTATAGATCCTAGCCATCTTGCACTTTTTATCCTTGACTTGCCCAGTGATACCTAAGTATTGCAAGGATGACGGGACTGTGCATGTGGTTATTTAACAGGCATACACTGCCTACATGGACAAAGCATTTGCCAGCTCGGTCACCATGTGCTGGTTAGTGCATCAAATCCTTATTGTAGTGGTTAGCAAAGGTTCTGCCCCCTCCTCCGTTTCTGTTCATGGTGGGTGCAGAAACAGGAGGCCAACAGCTTAGTCTCCAGACTTGGGCTCCTACATTGAAATGCGCATGGTTTAGCGTTTTGAGGCCCAGGTTGGCACTGAAGCAGTTGGACCCGATGTCTGAATAGACACAGAGACTGCTCGCCTTTGCTGCTGCCTTCTGTGTGCAGTGTCTCCCCTAGCCCCTGCTTAGCATGAAGGGAAATGGAGTTGTCGATAACGCCAATCTTACTACAAAAGCAGTAACTAAGCCAGAGGATTGGCAGCATACAGTTACTTAGATCAAAGCATAGAACACTAGAACTGGAAGGGACTTCGAGAGGTCGAGTCCAGTCCCCTGCCCTCACGGCAGGACCCAGTACTGCCTAGACCATCCCTGACAGGTGTCTGTCTAACCTGCTCTTCAATATCTCCAGTGATGGAGATTCCACAACCTCCCTAGGCAATTTATTCCAGTGTTTAACCCCCTGACAGGCAGGAAGCTTTTCCTAATGTCCAACCTAAACCTTCATTGCTGCAAGCCCTGCTTCTTGTCCTATCCTCAGAGGCCAAGGAGAACAAGTTTTCTCCCTCTTCCTTGTGACACGCTTTTAGATACCTGAAAACCGCTATCATGTCCCCTCTCTGTCTTCTCCTTTCTAAACTAAACAGGCCCAATTCTTTCAGTCTTCCCTCACAGGTCATGTTTTCTAGGCCTTTAATCATTCTTGTTGCTCTTCTCTGGACCTTCTCCAATTTCGCCACATCTTTCCTGAAATGTGGTGCCCAAAACTGGACACAGTACTCCAATTGAGGCCTAATCAGCGTAGAGTGGAGCAGAAGAATGACTTCTAATCTTTAACTTCTGGAGGGCAATTTATAACAGAGGGAAGGGAAGGGGGAAAAAAAAGGTAATTGTAGCAATAATTTAATCTGGGGAAATGAGCTTCTCCCTGAATCTCATGGTACTATATTGTTGGTAGTCTCTGTGGTGCTACAGGACTGTTCCTTGTGCTGTCAATTGTAGTGCCGGTGCTAATGAGGCTAATGGAGTGAGCTAGAAGTGTCCCATATTTAGTCTTTGATGTAAATGAGATGTTAAACGCAGAGAAGGCTGGCTTGCTTCCATGTAACAGCTCATTTTGCACACACACCCCTCCCCAATCCTTTTCTGTTCTAAATTCTGGATTCCTGTTTCCACTCCAGCTTCCAGCTCATCTGAGGAAGTAGGTTTTGCCTGCGAAAGCTCATGATACTGTATATATTTTTGTTGGTCTCTAAGGTGCCACAGGACTACTTGTTTCTAAAGTTAGAGATGAACACAGCAGCCCCTCTGAGGCTTCTGAATGACAACTAACTCCTATGCAGCACTGATGCGTGGATCTCGAAGCATTCTACCAAGAGAGAAAGTATCTCTCTCCACTTTAAGGAGGGAGAAATGGAAAGCACAGAAGGGAAATGACTTTGCTAAATTCATAAAATAGATCAGCAGCAAAGCCAGGAAACAGTCCAGTTCTGGCCCCTCGTCTAGGACACCAACTTTGCACAGGACCACGTTGCCAAATAACTAAGGGTGCGTCTAGATGGCACCCTTCTGTCAGAATAAGCTATGCACTTTGCGCTACGCAAATTGCGCTACGCAAATTGCGTTGTTTATTCCGAGTCTAAGTCGAAAGAGCCTATTTTGAAATTTCAAAGTAAGACACTATTCCAACAAATCCCTTAACCCTCGTGGGTGACAGGGAGGCAGGAAATAGCAGGCGCTTTTAAAGAAGCGGTGTTGATCTTTCAGGGTACTTCCAGTATCCTGAAAGAGCAACGCAGTCTAGACGTACCCTAAAAGTGTCATGGAGACTCGGTGCAAAAATGTCCAAAGCCATTGTTGGGTTTTGTTCTTGTTGCTTTGTGCAGACATTGCTAGTGAGCGTCCCAGAGAGCAGTCTGAAGGAAGCACGAAGCATTTGAAATGTCATGAAGGGCAAAAGGAAAGGTGTCTGCTGTATGCTGACTCAAAGCAGACCCACTTGCTGTGGGTTTTGGATGGGCTTTTCAGGTGTTCCAAGTGACCTCAATGGGACTTACGCATTTAACTTGCTTAAGCAATCTTCCAATGCTCATCCTTCAGCCCACAAACCTCCATCTTGTTTAACACGGGTTCTCCTCCGTGTGCTTTAGAAAAGTCGTAAGGTGTTTCACTTGCTGCCCATGTGCTTCTGAGGCTGGCTCCTTTAATGGACCTCCCCTCGCATGGCGCTCTCGTTGAAAGTGTTCTGGGAGGAGGCTGGACTAGCACAGCGTTCTGTAAGAATGCTTTTTACTTCTCATTCTCAAGGGACTGTGTGCTGGTGTGAGAATTGTGTGCTCTGTCACACAGCGGTTTCACTTGCATTGGCAGAAACCTTCTTAAGCAGATATTAAATCAGCCTCTCAAAACTTACCTTGGGAGTGGAGGTCTTTAAATATGATCACGTTGGTCAGCATGAGCACACAGATTTTTAGCTGGGATAGTATTTTGCCATTACTTGATATCTGGAATTAGTATGGGAAAGACCAATGAAATCCTTCCATTTATCCTGATTTTTGTGTCTACCACTTCTTGCTGCTTCTGCCAGTGTTTGAGGCCCAAAGGTTCTCCCTGAATCAGCCATATCCAGCAATGACAATAGCACCCTGTGCTCTTGGAAGGTGTTTGTCTAGTTATGTGTTTTTTCTCCTGCTCAGGCAGACGATGACCAAGTTCTAGGCTTCCACCAAACCTTTTTGTTGAAAAGTTTTCAAGGTGCCTGGGTATGCACCAATGAAGTCTTCAGGCTAGCCCTCCACAACGTGTAACCTCTGCCCTCTCTCCATCTCTGGTGGTCTTCACCCTCCTTCCTGAGTAAGGCATGCTCTCTGCTTGCTCTCACACCTTGTTTGGTCTTGTAGTGTCTGAGCAGCATGGCTGTGGCTTGTGCGTTTTCAAACCAATAGGACCAGTCTGTGATTCTCCAAGGTGGTGTGGTTTGGAAGCGATTGCTGTAGATTTAATTTAGAATAACTAATTCTGAACGTGTTGTGTCCAAGGGGGTGTGGAACAGTTCCGATTTGGACAAAGGAGTGTGCCGTTTGTCGCTTGGGGAACCGGGGGTGCTTGTGATGCATGGTGAACATGTGGAGCATTGTTTGAAACGCTCCAGATGAGACGTCCCGAAAATCTGAAAGAATCTGTGACCTGACGACTGTTCTAGCACTTTTGTGGGTAAAACGTGTGTCAGTCAGGAGTGTGGAAAAAAATACTCCTGATCGTCAGTTTCACCAATCAAAGTGCTGGTGTGCACAGTGGGAGACTGGTACTGCTGCTCGTTGGGGGTGATGTAATTATGGTGATGGGAGAACTCTGCTGCTGGCAGAGAGAGGCTATGCAGGGGAGCCAGTGGCGTGGCAGCAGGAGGATAGCGGTGCCAGTCTGAGGTGTAGACCTAACCTAACTCTCCCCATGGGATGGTATCCGAGGTACTCCAGAACGGTTGGGTGCCAGAGCTAAGATATATAAAATAGGCTTGGTGGCCAAAACCAAAGGAGAATGTCTGTGTGCCTACAGAAGTGTAACAGGCAAGAGGGCTGAATTGGAAGGTCTGGCAGTGGAAATGAATGGCATTGCTGGAACATGGTTGGTTTCTAAAAATCAGTGGGAGACACTGATACCAAGTGTTCAGTCAATTTTTAGAGAGGCAAATGCCGAGTCTTAAGAATATGCTAGCAGAGCTATGTAGTACAGGCCTCTGGGTCAGGAGAAAAGCCTGAGTGCTAAGGCAGCAAAAAATCCAGGAAAGCAGTAATAAGGGGTGACTTCATTCTATAAACTGACCAAAAAGTTAAAAATCTTTGGAACCGTTAGGAAAGGGATCTATCAGATGGAAAATATCATCATGCTACTGTCTAAATCCGTAGTACACCAAAATCTGGAATAGCGCATGCAGTGATATAAGATGGAAAAATATCATCATGCTACTGTCTAAATTCGTAGTACACCAAAATCTGGAATAGCGCATGTAGTGCCGGTCTCCCCATCTTATTTATATATGGAAAAGCAACCGAGAAGGGCAACAAACTGATCAGAGGTGTGGAACGACTTCCAGATGAGATTTGAAAAGACTGAGGCCATTCGTTCAGCTTTGAAAAGACATGACTAACATCCTGACTGCTGTGGAGTAAATAACATGTCCTTATTGTTCACAAAATACATAGAGATTCTCAGGGACACTTGACATCCCATTCGCTATTCCAGGACATCCCATCGCAACTACAGCAATTGCTTACGTGGAAAAGTAAAATGTCAAAGGTACTTCATGTATTTAGCTTTTCTTACTGTAGACTAGCAGCTGGAAACAGAGAAGAATTAGTGCTATGCACCCAGACAGCTCTGCATGGTCCACCCTCTGGAACCTCCCCAAATCATCGTGGGCCTCCATGCTTAGACCTCGTTAGTGCTGCTGGCTTTCATGCAAACTCCCTTCTGAGGGTTAGCCCCCACCATGGCATTATTTCTCAAACTAACGTCTTATCAGATTGGGGTTTATTTTAACATAATTGACTGCTTCCTTGACCTTCATAAGACTTGTTCCCATTTCACCACACGACTATTTCAGTTTGTCGCTGGGCTGTTCTTTCGGGGCCGGGATAAACAACTCCTGACACCACCAGTTTGTGTGAGTGCAGTTGCGTCTTTATCTGTAAGGGTGTGTCTCGACTACAGGGTTTTGGCGACAAAAGGGGACTTTTGTTGACAAAACTATACCTGCGTCCACACTGCCGCCGAGTTCTGTCGACATAACGTCAACAGAACTTGGCAGTTTTGTCGACGGCAGCAAACCTCATTCTACGAGGAATAACGCCTTTTGTCGACAGAGGTCTGTCAACAGAAGGCGTTATTGCATCTACACTGTCCTTTGCGTCTACACTGTCATGTCAACAAAGCAGCTTGCTTTGTCGACAGAACTGGCTGTAGTCTAGATGCTCTTTGTCAACAGAAGCTTTGTCGACCGTATCTGTTGACAAAACTTCTGTTGACAAAAGCCTGTAGTCTAGACGGACCCTAGGGGTCAAGTGGTGCTGGACAATAATAAAATCTGTGCTAAATCTCCACTAAATCTGAGAGAAAAATCTGCTGTCAGTAAGCTGCGTGTGTAAATCCTACATCACTGAATTATGGGTTGAACATCTAAGAGGAGAATTCTGGATATATTCAAGCTGAATGGGATTGTTGAGAGGCGTAAGCATGACATCACTGTTGGCATCAGCTGCTGAATCTTGTTTCCAAGTGTGTTTGAATGTATTTGGCATAGTGAAGAGCTTTTAAAACTTTTTTTCCCCCCTCTCTCCATAGGCTGATGAAGATCCTATCATTGGATTCCACCAGATATTTCTATTAAAGAACATCAATGATGCCTGGGTTTGCACCAATGACATGTTCAGGCTAGCACTGCACAACTTCAGCTGAGCTGGTACCCCCAAGGCACCTGTGCTTTCTCTTTCTCCTGCCCTTTACCGATATATTCACACTCACAGAACATTCCAAATATCATACACAAACCTGCAACATCGCAGCGAGTGCGCAAGATCCATGACCTGCCCTTCTGCCAAGTTTACGTTGTGTCACTAGATGAGTTTCTTGTGCATGATGTTTGGAAGTTAGACTTAGCTGCATTTGACAAGAGAAGTGTGTGTTGTATCAGCATGCCTCGGAAAGAGTCCATAATGCAAAAGGTTGTGTCTTTATGTACTGACAAGTTGCTCTAGTAACCCAAAGAAACGAGAGGAAAGAACAGCAGCCTGTACAGCCCAGATACTGATTTGTTTCAGATGTCTCAATGCTACATTATACAATAATAAAACCATAAGATTTTCTTAACCGTTTAAATTGTTTTAATGACTTGGGTGATAAGTGCGTAACCATACAGTCTTAAGCCAGTTCTTTGGTTCTCCTGTGTCAACCGGGCTAGGCAAACATTTACAATCTTGAAAGCCCACTAAATGCTTTAGTTCTAACCAATGTTCCTTCTAATTTTTTCCACCCATGTACAGAATAGTATTTTCTATGTGCACCAAGGCATGTACAGATGTGCACCACCACTAGACCCACATGGTGCCAACTGTGGGCACGCTGCTGATCACTTGGGTGGCGTTTGAATCTCTCCTGGGCAGATGTTCCCTGGAAGCAGAGCAGATAGTGCTCTGCTTACAGGGAACGCTGGTTTTAACTGTTCACTCCTATTATGTCTCTTGCAACTGACAACTGGTCCAAATATTCCTTGGCCATAAGTCTCTTCCTTGCTCCTTCCTTCGGCAGCCAAATGTGGAGGCTTGTGGCTCATATTTTCCTGTATTAAATTAGACTTGAGTGGTTTAAGCTTTTTCTTAGTCTTCATTTTATGCAGAAACACAGAGGAGGGGATGCACCCAGTTGACAATCACGGCAATATGTATGAAGTTACCTTGTCATAATACTTGCTAGTGTGTCAACCATCACTGAGTCCTTCCAGCTAAAAATGCCAGCTGAGTTTCCTCTGGGGCATGTAACCCCAGCTATCTGTATGGCCTGTAGAGCTATGGGTTGTGTGCTTGTCTCTAAATTCCCACTCTAGCTCCATTCAGCCTCTGAACTTCCCCTGTGGTTTGAATTGGGTATGGGCTTCAAACTTTGTTGTAAACCAGCATGTAGTGTTCTTGTTGCTATGCCTTCAGCTGCCCACAGCCATCCCAGAGGTGGCAGCATTTCTGTGGGGAAGGGATCCCTGTACATGTTGAGTCCTTCTAGATTTTCATAGGAAACAAGGTGCCACGTTAACTAGATTGCATCAGTCACATTGCTTACTACTGGCTAGCCTGTAGGGGCCAGATTTTCACAAGTGCGCAGAACTCAGGTGTTCCCATTGAGACACGGACAGGCTTCCAAGCTCTCTTGAAAATATGGCCACTCATTTTGGTTCCTAAATGGGAGGAGTTCTCTCCTGAAAACAGGCGCTCTCGCTGGCATGCTCACTGCAGTGTCTTAATTCCTCATACTATTTAGCGCTCTAACTTGCTGGTCACCTCAATTGTTAATGGGTAACAAGGAATAGGAAATTAACAGCATGCTACTCCTATTACTGCTTCTCTGCCGTAGGAAGAGCATCACAATGTGCTGTTAATTCCATAGGAGAAGGATTAGTCCTTAGCTGAAAGTCCCTTTTGTACAAAAGGGCCTTCATGGTCAGGGACTACTGTCATCAAACTATTGCTTTTTGATCTCAGGATGGGAATCCCTCTTTTCTGCTATTAGACCCTAGATCTATCTTCTTCCAGTCCATTCTTGAATTAAAAGGCTGGCTGTAACGGAGTTAACTCTCCCTAATCAAATCTGTTCTGCTGAAAGATCCTGCCTCTAAACCCAGACATCCCTTGGTCTCTGCATCCAACTCTGTAACTTGCTCTTGCAAGCGAGCTACCTAAGTACTAGGCTCAAGGAGTGATGCTTCCAATCAGCTGCTTAACTTCTGACGTAGCAATAAGTATCTTCCCCCAGGTCGATCAGCTCTCGGTCCCTATCTGGCAAAAAAATGCAGGCCAGTTCCACTCGGTGCTATTCCAATGTCAACTGTTGCACAGATGCTCTTGTGCTGCTGCCTGCATCTCATAGCAAGTGTTGGAGTGACTTCTGAAACAGCCCCCTATGCATGTAGGGGGACTGCTTGGAGGGAGGAGAGGGGACGTTGCTGCCCCCTCTAAACAATTCTAGGTGGGGAGGATGCATTCTACAAACCCAAGTTTTTCATTCCAGAGAGTGTCTTGTCCTGCCTGCCCTGAGTGAGACTTTTGGGATCCTCTCAGGGTACCATGCTTGGTTGGAACATCATGTTGGCCTTAATATTAGCAGTGTTAATAGCCATATCAAAAAGATGCCTTAAGAAAATTCCCAAATATGATGCTTGCAGACAACCCACCTCATCCTTATGAATGATCGCATGTTGACTAGAGGATGGAAAAAGGGAAAAACATGTTCCTTGCTCCTAAGAAGGGAATAACTGGCTTCTGTTTACACTAAGATGTGTTTTGAACATCTGCCTCCGCTCCTGGCGTAACTGGCTTTAGAGTCTTGCAACCCTGTCCCTTGGTGGCAAATATGTAGTGCAGTTGTAGCTACCTCGGATAGCTCTCTGGCATTGTCTTAACAGCAAATGATAGATTCTAACCCTAACTCAAATTGGAAGGGGAGAATTTCTAAGCTAGCCTGCACCATGGACTTGAAAACATCAGTCTGCAAAAGCAGTCGGCTGTGACTGCCTCGCCCTGTCATGCCAAAGCTGCTGTCTCGGGAATGGGCTGGAAGACTGTTGTGCTGCTTCCCACTGAAATAGGGTGACCTGTTTACCTCTTGATACTCTACCTTTGCTCCAGATGTGACCCTTCTTGGACTACCTCTGGGTCTCCGTCCACTGGAGATAAATATGAAAATGTGCCATAGCCGTTAGCGCGTTTAGCAGCAGAAAATGGAAAAAACAGCCCTGCTTCGGTGGTTGAATGATAGTTTACCCAGTGCTTCAAGGCAGGACTTCTGTGTATTTACAGACGACAACGTGTCTTAAACTGACCCGCAAGGCTACGGCGCTCTCCAAGTCAGCTGTGTGGAATAAGATGATACATTCAGTGTAACTGTACTGTACGATGATGGCTTGTTCTGATTGTACCTGTGACCAGTGTGTTAATAAAGATTTTTCACAAACATTGTTTGCTTGGGCTCAAGCCAAGCACATGCAGACTAGATCAGGGCTGGCTGGGTCCTAATAATGGAAAAATTAGGAAGTTGGGGAGGGGGGAAGAGTACAGAATAGCTCAGCTTAATTAAAGCACTCCTGCCCTTGGGTGTGAAATAGCTCATCCCACCCACTTGGCTGCTAAGCAGAAAACAGGCCTCCGGGACTTGGACTAAACCAGTGCCCTGCTCGCAAGGGGGGCGGGCCTGAATGTCTGTCCTGTCCTCACAAGCTGAGTTTATAGGGCTATGGCGCTTTGCAGGGGATTTGAACAAAGATCTCGGGCCTACCTAAGTGTATTAGGTGACATCTCCTAAATCCGAGTGGTGACAGCCAGCTGCTTTCAGCCAGCCCTGCAGGGGAGTTGAACAAAGATCTCAGGCCTACCTAAGTGAATTAGGTGACATCTCCTAAATCCTAGTGGTGACAGCCAGCTGCTTTCAGCCAGCAGTGCATGACAGGCCGTTCCGTTATTCCTCTCAGCTGCCAGCTTTCACAGGCTGCCTTCACACTGATGGGGTGGATGCGTGGGGGCGGGGTGTCTTGAATCGGATCATTTGACGGTTCTGCTGCCATGGACTCGCATCCCATCTCCTGTTGGTCCCGAAAGAGTGGCCCGAAGGGAGGGTGTATTCCGTGTGACGGTGCAGCCGAAGTGCAAGGCCCAAGCCTGGAATGTGGCTATAACCCTGCTGCTGGACGAAGGGCGCTGTGGGGTCCCGTCCCAGGCAGGGGAGGAACTGCCTGGATTTGACTGTGACCCAAGGAAAGCTTCTCGTTGGGGTGAAACAGCATCTCTAAGGATCACGCGCAAGGGGAAGATCAAAGTCTTGGGATTCACCGCAGCGTTAAAAAGCAGCTCGGATCTCTCAACGTGCCATCGGCAGGTCCCCCCAAACACGTCACCTCCGTTTCTCCTTGTTTGTACATCTCTGCGCCACAATCCGTAAGTGTCAGTCTACTGCCACCCTTTACCTGCGGGGGGGGGCTCAAACTCATGGCCTGTGCGATTGCGCAACACGAGGACTCCTAGTGGGCCTGTTGCCAGCCCCCAAGCCTGTCACTCCTCTCCCCCCTCCATAGCACCCTGTCCCCAGAGCATGTGGCTTTGGGAGGGACCCAGCGTCACGCAGTGGCAGCAATCATGCCTCCCCTCCCCTGCAACTTCCCTGGGGGGCAGGAGCTGCAGGTTGGGGGAAGAGGGTGGGACAATGGCAGGAAGGGGTGGGGCTCAGGGCTGAGAAGACAGGTCCCCTGGGAGGGCTGAGCCAGATTGCACAATCACTCCAGCTGGGATGGGGAGTTGGAGACCCCGGCTTTATTCCCCCATCCCCCCACCTGTTGCAATGGGCGCTGAGAAACCCAGTGTAAATAAAAGGCTTTCTCCCGCGTGGGCACATCAAACCCCTCCACACCAGGCTCTTGTCATGAATTTCAGGCCGTTTACTCAGTCGCCAGATCCCCCAGCTGGGAGTCCAAAGGAAGAACACGCACTCGGGTATCCGTGACCCAGCCGGCAGCAGGAAAGGAAGCCTTGCGCTGTTGATGCCTTCTCTGTTGCCCAGCTGGAAAGTGATGCAAGTGCTGCCTGCATGCAGCTGAGACCCTGCCTGCGTCTGAATGTAGCTTTTGTAGGGGCAGGGGCAATAATTCTGGAAGAGGGGCCACTTCACAAATTTCGGAAGTGGCTGTGGGCTGCCCCGGAAGGGGAGGGCCCGCAGGCGGAAGGAGTGAAGTTGAGAATTACCCTGCTGGGTGCGGTGACCTTATTTTCTGAACCAGCTGCAGCTAGGGAGAACAGTTTAATTGAAATTATGAAATAGATTACCTACTTAATAACCACTGAAGGTGCTAACAGCTCCCTGAGTGGTATCCTTCCTGTCTTAGGAATCTGTCTATTGACTTTGATTTTTTTTTTTTATCTGCTTTGGTTTAAGTACCCATTCTCCAGATTTTTAATGATGCTCTGTTTCCCACTCCCCTCCCTTTTTCTTTCTCTCTCCTCTCCTCTCCTCTCCCCTTCCCCTCTCCTATTTATTTGGAGTTTTCATATCCCCAATTCATAACTCTGGTCATCTGAAGAAGTGGGCTGTGCCCACAAAAGCTCATGATCCCATCTA